TCTCCCTTACAAGTGCCTGGCATCCTAGAAAGTTTAGGATTATTCTCCATGGGAAAGTATAAAACTGTGATAGCTCAATGCTTCAGAAGTTGGAAACAGGGCAATCGGTGAATGACAGAATCTGCTCCAGTTAATATCACTGATGAACTTCCAGTACGATCCTCAAATCGCCTTCTTTAAACTCCTTAGAGAACAGAAGATGAGTTCCCAAACAGAGGGACAAAGTCTGTGTTGGTTTTTTTTTTTCTGGAGAACATTCTCTAAATTAGACACAGATTAATTAGTTCTGACACCTTGGCAAATAAGCAGCTTCTCACATTTTTCATCCATTTTTGCTGCCAATAACATTTATGATAACTTTATAAAGTGAGGAGGGAACAAGAAGGAGACAGCTGAAACTTCATTTTTAATGGAAAAGGATAGAATATAATGAACAGGTTTCCAAAACAATATTTCAAAACACTGAACCTACAAACACATTTCTTTCCTGTGCTGCCAAAGATGGGGTTGAAGGAGACCTCAGGGATTTACCTAGTCCATGCCACTCAGCTGTGAAAGAGGTTTGCTTAACCTCCCACGAGCATCTATTTTCTGAAGCCATACTTGAGGTATCCTCTTTTGGCTCTGGATACAAATATAACCTGGAGAGGATCCTCTCAAGAAAGGCTCCTCTACTCTCTGTGAAAACCCAGATTTTCATGGAAGCACCAAATTTATGGGATTGCTAGCACATGTTTTCCGTTTGTTCACACCAATGCTCTTGATAGGTCTGACATGCCTGCGAGCTCAATGAAGGTTGACTGTTGTGTTTCGAGGAAGCAAGCATTACAAGAAGCCTTGGAGGATGCTCTCGGAGTCCCTCTCAAGCATCTGCGAGGCTCTGCTGCTCTCTGCTGGGAAATGCAGGCAGAGCCCCAGCTCGACGATTTGCAGAGTGCTCTGCCTTGGTCGCTGCACATACACAATCAGGTCCTCTATACGAAAAATGCGTTCTCCCTCAAAGCATTGCTGTAGAAACTGGTCCCCATCAAGGTCTGCTGGTCTAAGTCAGCAGCCCCTGCTTGCCTCTCTTCCTTTGACATCCCAGCCCCTTCCACCTCATCTGGGAAACTGACTCTCTCCATATGGCTCTGTGGCACTTAAAATCACTCTCCCCACAGTTTGTAATGAACTTGATATCTCAACACTGCGGGCTATGCCGTTGCTGATGCACAGGACAAGACCACAATGCACCCACAGTCACAGATCAGCGTGTGAATGGGTAGAGACTCCAGCCACCACCTTGTCCCTTCTTGCAGCCTGCTTTCCTTGGTCGCTTCTCTATGCCACAATGCTGCCCTTCACTCTGCAGACCTCAGGAAAGCTTTAACTATATCTGGCTGTAATGCTGCAAAACCTCAAGTCAGAAAGCCTCGGAGCCACAGGATATCGGAAACCACGAGGCCATGGCCTCTATGAGAAAACAGCTCTTGCACCTCAGAGAGGACAGATCCCGCAGGCTGGCACTGAGTGGGGCCCTCTGTGCCTAAGGAAAGACACGTCATTTTCTCATGTGCTTCGTTTTGCGCATCCCATTACGATTTTCAAGTAGCAGGTAAAGCGGCAGCAGTTTAGGATGGACACTTTCAGGGTTTGGCTCATGTACGTATATTTACAGCTCAATAAAATAAGTAGAAATATTAAAAGTGAAGAGACTGTGGAAAGTGATTTGTTCCAACTCTTCACTGCAGACTTCCAGGAAACGAATCAAAGACTCTCAGGAGTAGTTAGACTGTAATTTATTAACCCAAAAGGGACCGCATTGTTAACCAACATTATTTATAGTGAACAGCTCAACCATCTCTACTGAACAACTCTGTGATACTGCAGGGACAAATGCAATGAGTTACTACAGAGATAGGACAAAACCAGCAGCAGATCTTTGTTACAGCTGTTAGAAAAAGTGTCCCCAGGAGACAGACACTGAATCTCTAATGGCTATCTTATTTCTGTGACAATTTATTTAAGTTTTAACTTAACAGCAGGAATGATAGCCACAGTTACACAGTGACTCCCAATAAAGGAGCGTATTGCTGATCTGCAGCTGGTGTTTTCTTATTTATTTGAAAGTCTTTAAGTTCCAGACTTAGCATATGGTGCAATATAAATAATGATATAATAATACGGCTTTGCTTTCCATGTGCCTGGGTAGAAGAAAAAGTCGTGTGATTTATGTTACACGAGCATTATATTTAAGGCTTTGTTTTGCCTTTTTCATGTCTTTAAAATGCATCTTCTGGTTTTTCTGTTGTTGGTTGTTTGGGGCTTTTTTTTATTTTTTTCTTTATTTTTTGTAATCTCTTCATTTGAAAGAATGAACAAAACAGCGATGTTTATTTAATGGAGTCATTCATCTTACTTCCTTGTACAAAATCCAAGCTTTCCAGCCTTAGCAGCCAGATTCCTGCAGCAGATAGTGGGGCTGGAAATGGAGAGTTCTGCAGTTTACCAATGAGAAACAGATGAAAGGAAAACATGGGGCTCGAGATTTGCCCACAGCAGGACTCTATCTAAAGCCAGCAGCATGCTGAAAACTGCTCAGTCCTGTCCAGTAAAGGATGGAGAGGAGAAACCCATGGGAGAAGTTCTGCAGGGAGTCATGCTGTGGAGAAAACAGCACTGGGATGCTCAGCACACAGCTGAAAGCAGATGCCTACTTCAGCTAAACCCGCAACTGCAGTTACTGCGGCAAACACTGCCCTCTTTAAGTATGACACAGATATAACAGTTTACAGCTCTCCTTTCAGACCCTGGATACAGCAGCTTCATGAACACTACAGCCATGCACAAATACCTAGATCCAGGGAAGAACTAACTCATGTTTTCTTGGACTGACCGGCAGCAAGATTTCATTGAGCAAAACCTCTTTACAACTACTAGGGTTACAAATGTGAGTTTAAACACGTACAGATTACTGCAGTACAACAACAACAACAAACAGTATTTCTAAGGTGTGTACAAGACAAACTAGCGTCCCTAGTCACTTAAGCCATTGGTCCTCATCTCCTGGAGGAAACCTGTCAGGATCCACAAATCAAAACTGACATACCCTAACACCAGGCAGTAAATGGTACTCTCTCTCCCCATGTGACAATCAGTGGAGGTTGAAGAAGTCAGATCCTGAAATCTCAGTGACAGTCCAACTGCCTAAGACCTGTCCACAATTTCATTCGGCATCTTTCAAGATATTTCCAAGTGAATACACACACAGTGAATACACTCGCACTCAAAAACACAGCAACCACACGATGTCTTGGGACTATACCAGTCACAAGGGCAAGCGAGAGAGGCAAGAGAAGCTCAAAGGAGCTGAGTAATGTCTCGACAGCAGCACTTCAGTATAGGAGGATCTTAGCGGTCAGCATATCGGACAGTGTTATGAATCTAGTATGGGAGCAGTGAGGAAGCTACTTCTTATAGAAGGGCAAGAGCTTAAACTAAAAAACACACTCAAAGTGAATATAAATGGCATCTGTTAGTTTAGAACAGGTTTTGAAGTCCTGTATCTCTGTCTCACTCTCCCCCAGTCAAGACCCATGGCACTTTCAACCACTGATGCTTCAAATCCAGCTCTTTTCACACTGGAGCATGAACCAGAGTATTTCAGAAGCTAGTTACTGTGGTAACCCAGTACTGCTTTAATCTTTTTTTCCTTTCATCTCCTCTTTGGGGGAAACTGGCAATCTGTTTATTTGTTTTTTCTGAGTTCATCACACAGGATATTGCCAAGATTTGTGTAAAACCAAGACGAAAAATTATCTCTTACTTGAGTGCACATAAACCTCTCTCTGCGTTCCACTACCCTCTCGCTTCCCTGCTTCTCTTCACAAGCTATTTACCATCTCCTCTGTGTAGGTCTTTGTCTCTGCTATGGTCTGCCCTTCTCCTTCAGGCCTCCTCGCTACTGGGATACTTACTAGCAGGGCCACCAAGACAAATTAGATATCATGCACTTTGTTGCTTTCTTTAATAGAGCTCAGTAAACCAGAAAGGCCTCAAGTCAGGGCCTGTTTCATCAAAAGGAGAAAGCTAATGGCATTGAACTTGTAGTGATGTCACAAAGCTCCCTGTAAAACAAAATGGTTGCTTGGTCTGCAGCAGGCAGAGCTACATACAATTCCCACCATGTCCCCACCCTCAGCTTAGAGATGCCTGCTTTCACAGTGCACAGGGGCTGGCAGCCCTAGGTGGCAAGACATCTGAGGACTCACACCAGCAGTGGCCATGCGGGCCCTGTGGGCACCTGAAGTCCACAATCTCTGGCTGCACTGAAGTCAACACTGAGACTAGGACCAGTACCATGACTGAGATCAGCACCAAGATTCTAACTATAGAACCACTAAGCCTGGAAAAGACCTCTAAGATCATCTAGTTCAATCACCAAGCCACCTCCACTATACCCACTAACCACGTCCCGCAGTGCCACATCTACACGTTTCCTGAACACCTCCAGGGATGGTGACTCCACCACTTCCCTGAGCAGCCTGTGCCACTGCCTCACTGCTCCTTCTGAGAAGACATTTTTTCCTAATATTCAGCCTGAACCACCCCTAGCACAACTTGAGGCCATTCCCTCTCATCTTATCACTGTTAGAAGAGGCCAATTCCCACCTCACCACAACCACCTTTAAGGCATTGTAGAGTGGTAAGGTCTCCCCTGAGCCTCCTCTTCTCCTGACTGAACAATCCTAGTTCTCTCAGCCACTTAAGACATGAGTTCCAGACTCCCCACAAACTTTGTTGCCCTTCTCTGGACACACTCCATGTCTTCAATACCTTTCTTGTACAGAGGGGCCCAAAACTGAACACAGTATTCGAGGTGCAGCCTCACTAGTGCTGAGTACAGGAGGGCAATCGCCTCCTTGCACCAGCTGGCTGCACTATTTCTGATACAAGCCAAAACGCCATTGGCTTTCTTGGCCACCTGGGCATACTGCTGGCTCGTGTTCAGCCAGCTGCCAACAAACACCCGAGATCCTCTTCCACCGCACAGCTTCCCAGCCATTTTGCCCCAAGTCCATAGCATTGCTTGGGGTTGTTGTGGCTAAGTGCAGTATCCGGCACTTGGTCTTGTAGAACTTCATCCCACTGGCTTCAGCCCAGCAACCCAGCCTCTCCTGATCCCTCTGTAACACTTTCATACCCTCAGGCAGGCCGGCACAGAACGAAGACAAGGACTAGAACCACACCTACGATTACACCCCGCTCAGCTCAGCCCTTCTCAGCACTCCCGCCCCAACCTGAGATGGCCGCGCGGCACCACCTACCGAGAGAAAGAGGCGAGGCGTGACGGCAGCGGTTCCCTCGGCAACCTCTCGGCGTCTTCCATCTCTCCCGCTTACGGTGAGCGGCGCAAGAAGCCATGGAGAGCCGGGGGTTGGTGAGCGCGGGCGGCGGCGTCGGCGGCGGGAAGTCCCCGGGGCCAGAGACCTCGATCCCGGGCACAGACCGGGACGCGGAAGCCGTCCCCGCCGCCTCTCCGGAGGCACAGCGCCGCGCCGCGCACGATCCCATAGAACCCCGTGACCCCATCCGCCCTCCCGGCCCCAGTCTGCCCCTGTAGTAGTGTCGGTGTGATTTCATGCCGTCTGAGCTCAGTTACAGATCATAAGTGAGGATGTGGGGCACGGACAGGGAGCATTACCTGGCCAGCTGCTGGATGAACCCCCAGGAGAACCAGGCAGTACGCAGGCACCGGGCACAAGCAGTCATACAACGTGGTGAAGGCTTGGGGCTGAGTTTAAATGGCGTTTCTGGGCTCATGGGCAGAGACCGTGACCAGTCACAGAAATTAAAGCCTTTTAGTGCTCCCAGAGTCCTAACGCTTGCTCTAAGAGGAGCGTATTTCCAGAAGGATGCAGTAATTTGATGTAACTGGTCTGCAGGGCCTCAGTGTAGCCCTACAGTGTGTCCAAAAAAGAGCATCAGAGTTGTGAGGGGTCTGGAGCACGAGTCTTATAAGGAGTGGCTGAGGAAACTGGGATTAGATCAGGATGAGAGGAGGCTCAGGGGAGACATCATCCCTCTCTACAACTTCCTTAAAGTAGGTTGTGGTGAGGTGGGGGTCAGCCTCTTCTAACAGTGATAGGATGAGACGGAATGGCCTCAAGCTGAACCAGAGGAGGTTTGGGCTGGATATTAAGAAAAATGTCTTCTCAGAAAGAGTGGTGAGGCAGTGGCACAGGCTGCTCAGGGAAGTGGTGGAGTCACTGTCCCTGGAGGCATTCAAGGAACATGAAGATGTGGCACTGAGGTCTAGAACAGTCACAGACATGGGTTGACAGTTGGACTAGATGATCTTAGTGCTCTTTTCCAATCTTAATGATTCTGTGATTCTATGGTTCTGCATTTAAAACATTCTGTCTTTTTTTTGTTAAGTATTCTAACAAGATCTCAGTGACCATTCAGAAACTGAAGTGAAGAAATCTAGCATATTGCCAGCTGCTATCCCACCACCTGTAGCTGAATCTCCACTATCACTGAAGGACTTATCTGTGATGGAAACACCAGCATCTGTAGACCAGCCATCTGTCATGGAACTGCCGAAGCCTGCAGATCATCTGGTTGTTGAGAACTCGCTAGGTTCTGAAGACCAATTTCCCATACCTAGCGGAAACTTACCTGAGATTAGATCACCTGTGGGTGAACAGCTTGGTTTCAAAGTCAAAATATCCATGTCTGAATCCTCACAGTCTTGCAGTAAAATGTCTCTGAATGAATCAGCAGCAGCTGTAGTTAAACCAACAGAGAAAGCATGTGAAATATCAGAGAAGCCAGTGGTGTATGAAGACCCTTTTGAAGCCTCCGTTAACTATGTGGAGAAGCATAATATTCTGCAGATATTTCAGGTGAAATTTCTCTTTCTCCCTGCAAAGGTTTGCTTGAGAAACTGTGCTTAAAGCTAGCTTGTACCAAACAGTCCCGTCTTCTAGATCCTTCCTTGTCACAAGCTTTCTTCAATCTAAACTTAGGAAAAGCAGTAAAAAGGGACACTTGGTCATCTCCAGGGACTGAAAGGGATGATTGCTTTTTAAAATTCAGCTCGTGTCGGAACAGAAAGTGCAGCCTCTCATCATCTTAAGGATCAATATTTCTTTCCTTCTGCCTGTCTCTGTTTCAGGAGATCACAGCAAAACTGTTGTACGAGAAACCTGATGACCCTTTGCAGTTCATGTTGCTGCAGGTATGGTGTTTTTGTGTTGCTCAGCAGGGACTGCCTGTTACAGGCACAGCAGAAAGCCAGCTTTGCTGACCATGCTGGAAACATGGGGAATTCATGACCCTTTCTCTCACTGTGTGCCTGCTCAACTGGGAGGAAGAGAAGGACAGGGCAGGAATAAAATGCCTAAGGTGCAAGAGCCCACTTGTGCTCTGTAGGGAGAGTGTTGAAATGTTCAAGAGGATGGGTGTGTGGAAGAGCATGGTGTTGAGGGAAGAATGGGGTGATGAGCCCTGAAAGATCATTACCTGAGATGTGAAGGAAGCTTGAGGACAGAGGTAGGACTCATTTCTGTCTGTTGTGACCCTTCTCTGACTTCCTCTGTCCCATACAGGGAGGAAACACTTTACCTGCAAGGTACCCCAATTCAGGAGAGTGATCTCTGCTGATCCTGATGGAGGAGTTTAAAACAGGAAATTCAGTCTGTCAAGAGAGTGGTAGTTTGGGAGTGAATTAGAAGTTAGAGTTACAAGTATGGGGAGCTCCTTTTGGAAAGAAGGAGATTAGAAAAAAGAGAGCAAATAGAAAGAGAAAGGGTCCTTTCCTTCACCGCCATCTTGTCAGTAAGGAGAAGCATCACTTTTGTGATTTGCTGCTGGGTTCATCCTGTACAGAATGTAGGCAGAACCTGCAGAGGAGTGGAAAGGCTGGTTCTCGGCAATGTTGGCAGAGAAGTATGTCCCCAAATGACCCTCTTCCTTTTCTTCTTTTCTTTTTTCCCAGGTGCAGTCCATGATAAATGCCAGGCAGGCAGAAATGGAAGGAGTATCCAAGGAGCACAAAGATACAGAGGAATTTCTGGGAGAAGTCCTGGGCACTCCTTCGGGCTTCTACTGACCTTTAGAATTTAGATTTAACAGGGCCTTTCCAGCATTGTGCTTTTACAACTACTGGAAGTACCTTTGAAAAAGTCTGTTGGTATCTCTGTTTCCTGATTTTTCTGTTCTGTATGCTTGCATTTCCTCTTTTATTTTAAGTCCTGCAACCAAGTATCAATTTGGATGTGCAAACTCAAATCTGAAAGAGTACATGTGGTGCATCCTGATAAGGCTGGGATGCTGAACTCTTGTCTGGTCTACACATACAAATGCACAAATTCCACATTTAGGCCACTTCTAGTCTCTACTTTTCTGTGCAGAGAAACAATACACTGTAGAATTAAAAAGTAATCCTGGACAACCTTTCTTTTTCATGAAGCACTGGTGGCGTACTGTCTCAAACTATACAATAACACCAATGTCCATCTAACAGATTGAAATCTACCCTCAGAGAGGCTGGGTCTGTCGTTTTTCTGCTGCTCCCAAAGCTCCTCTGATACATGGAGATAACTCTTTTTTTCACACAAGTGGCAGCAGCTGTCTCACTCTTCACCATCCTTGTTAGTTTCAGATCACTCTGCTTTTTGATGTTGTCTTGTTTGTATCATTGCGAGTATAGAATGTATTTTGATAAACAGAACTGTAAAGCAGTAGTTGCATACGTGGCTCTGTGGCTTCAAAAGGTATTGCCAATAAGGAAAGTGATAGGTGAATAAAATTAAACCAACCAAAACGAAGCACTGGTAGCGCAGCAAATTCAGAGTTAAGAATGACACTTTGCAAATACATCACTTGAACTGCTTTTAATTCTCAAAACACTTGCAGTGCTCATTTTCATATTTTCCAAGTGTTGGCTTTCACCCTCTAAGGGACATTTGTCTTTCTTGACTCTTGCCTGCAGATCACTGAAAATGTGCAATAGTGCATACAATAATTTTGCCGTCATTTCATGTGTATGTGCAATAGGTTCCAGAAAGCTTTTTGTCACTACATCTCTTTTTTAGGCAAGCGTTCTGATTTCATGATCAAAAATCTGTCTTTGGCTATGAAGGGAGCGCCACAGAAACTTATCTTCCATCTATTTCTTTGTAGCTAAAAGTCTGATGATCAGATTGTGCAGTACACCACAGCAGAGCTTGGGACCAAAACACTGGGGAATAACTGAAACAAGTATTTGGCATGCAGATGCTGTGTTTGAAGAAGAGTTGCCTTTCAATCAAAGGCTCTCAAAAAAGATGAAGTAACTCATTTTTCCAGGTTAGAAAATCTCAAAACAGATGTGTTAACTCCTGTGTTTCCAAGTTAAAGGCAGGTAAGCACCTCTGTCATTTACAAAGCAGGCAGGTTTTTCAAGCCTAAAGGTAGCTAAAGATCCAGATACATCTTCATAGGTTTTCTTAGAGATGTGATGTAGACTTAGGTGTCTACACCTAAGAACTGAGATGCTCTTGAAAGCCCTGCTTATCATCAGCAACCAGAAGAATTGGACCCTTAGTGAAGCAGAGTGAATGTTTTTTTCAGGCTCATATATTTCTGATCAAGGGTTTATAAGTGGCCCTGTACATTCACTCACTGTGAATGTAGGAGTAGTGTTAATAATGTATCTCCATGAAACAGGAAATGAGTGGAAGATAGTCAACTTTACATGAACATACTGGCTGAAGCCTTTTGTTCTCTGTCATCACTTATCAGCACATTTTCCAAGAGATGAAGGTGTTGTCATGTCTTTGAATTTTCTTGTAAAAAGGGATTAAGGTACTTCTGGGGACACTTAGATGTGAAATTCCTATTTCTCTGCCATTTTCATATTGTATTTTCTTGTTATGTTTTACATATGGAAACCTTGTGAACTGTGATATATTATCATACAATAGGTGTATGCCTTCAGCTTCACATCAGTTTTAAGTGAGTATTGAAAAGAAAGATCCTTAATTTCTCCTTCAGATAAATTGAGAGTTGGAAAGTCTTCCTACAGGTAATGGAAGTTTTGCAAGAAAGGCCCTACACAGTGTTCCTCAACAATCTTCATAAGACATATGAGGGGACACATTGCTTCCTCCTCCTCAGGCCTTGTAGATAACTGGATTGTATTTTGAACTGTATATATATATATATGTATGTATATTCCTTTTTTTTTTTTTTTTAGAAACTCAAGTTAGGAACTTCAGTTTTGAAAATAAAAGCATTCTTCAGAAGGTGTGCAGATTATTGTGTTTAGGCTGATACAACACCACAGTCCTTTTGGTTTGCTTCAAAGTTTTACTGAAAAACAGACCTTAGCTCTAGGAAAATTCTACCTCACACTAAGGCACTAATGCACCACTGATGTTTGTGTGTGTGAAGGCTTTTCTGCCGTGAAGAAAAGGAGAAAAGTTAGACTTAAAATGGAAACATGTATTGTGGTCTTAATTCCAGAGTGACTGTCTTTTTTCCAAGATTTCTTTTCCAAGCCATTGGATCCATGTGTCTTCTTCATAAGTGGACATTTATCAACATGACATTAAACTGTCATTTAATTGCTCGTTTTGGGTGCTCTGAAGGAATCAACAGTTCACTGTAACCGAAACTATTCCATATAAGTCCCTGTATCACACTAGTCACTGTAGATTTGAATGCCCTCCAGTAGTGTGTTAAGCAATGTGCCTAACATTTGCTGTTTGTTTTTCCCCCTCCATAAGGGCGATGTGTGTGCACTGACGTGCATTCTTTCTAAACGAGTGTTTTGAATTTTTTTCATCCACACCTGTGCATTGCTTTGTTTTGTTAATGGATAGGAATACGCTATGAACTGGGAGGTGGAGAGGCTGGAAATAGTTTGTTGTTCCCAAGGGTGTCGTTTCTGTAGTTTGATCTGGGCACCTAGAAAGTGTGGTATTTTCACAGATGAGATTTGTTGTTTATCCATGAGCTGACGCAGAAGCATGATGTCCATTTCACATGACAAATAGCACTGTTTTGTCATGCTCAGATCATTTCTGATGTGAATCTTGTAGAAACAAATTGTACACGCCTTGAAATACGTGTCACAGATCAAAATGCCAGACTCATTTTTTGCCATCTCTGTATAGAAACTTAAATCAAGTGACGTACCCAAGCAGTAGTATGTTGCCAGTATACTGCCTCTTACCAAGTAAAAAAAAAAAAGAAGATATTAAAAATCTTGTAATTGCTGATTAAAAATCCTTTGAAATGTTCACACAGTCTCTATTCTGCTTCTTAGTTGAAGTGCACAGGAAGGGTAGCTCTTCACTGGTCTGCCACTTACAGATAGCTTGAGACATTTTGTTGTGACTCACTGGATATGAATCACATCTACGTAACACCAATTTTAAGTTAGTTTAATGCCACTGATTTTGAAGTTTCACAATCATGTGAAACTTAAAGTACTCAGCAGCAACTATTCCGAGCCTGCATGTCTAAAATGGAAGAAATTAACCTCTGCATGAAGTCTGATAAAGAGCTTGGATTACGGGAGAACTCAAGCTGAAGACGAGGGAATTTGTAAGAGCTTAGAAGGGGAATACACCAGGGCAAACTGACCTAACCCTGTCTGAAATGCCTTCAGGTTGTATTCAAGGGAAAGTTTCTCCTGACTGTTCTTACAGCCAGAAGAAACGCAGAAGAAAAAGAAGAAACATTCTGTTAAAGTCAGACTTAGTATTCAGGCTGCGTTGACTTTTTGGAACTATCTTCATTGGCAGCATTAATGTAGCAACTTCATCAGAAGTTTTGGGCTATATTTCAACATACACAAATGAAAAGGGAGAATTTGACTTGTTGAGATGACATGGGTTGGAGGAAGAGACACTTACCATTCTCTCCTGGGGAAAGGTGGTGAGCTGGAATGTCACCCCAGAACAGTAAAAGGCAAAACAACCCCAGGAGGTTTCTATACACATAATTCAAGACCAAAGAATGCAGACACTGCAGTACTTAGCCTGTTCTAGAAATGTCAGGTGCAAATGAACAGAGTGCCTCTTCCTTCTTTCCTTGAGGCCATCACCCCTATTCCCCATGCAACTCCTTTCTCAGGTGGAAAGATGTCAGCCTTCTTTTCCACAGAATGCCTTAAGAAGGGCATCTCTATGGCATATGGAGTCTAGGGTGAGCTTTCCTGTATTTCCTGCCTAGGGCACAGGGTTTGGAACTAGATGATCTTTGAGGTCCCTTCCAACCCATTCCATTCAATGATTCCCAGTGTAGAAGAAGGGAGAAACTGCTGGTGTAATTTCATTAACTGCAGTGGAGTAATACCAGGGAAGGAACAAACAGTATAAGAGGGGCTCACTTGCTTTTTTTCGTGTGTGTTATTACCTACTCTGAGACCAAAATTAAACTCTTCTTCTTTGCCAGTTATTAGAGTGGTAAGAGATGGAGAAACACGGTTCTGCACAGAGCCAGACTTAATGGCAGACATTTTGCAAGAGTGAAAATGTAGATAATGTAGCTAAGGGAGTGCAACGACCAGCTTACGCTTGCTTGTGAAAATTTCACTATAAACTGACAAGCCTTTATTGGAAATGTCTTATCTGGAATCACCTGGTTCAATACCTAGAAAATCTTCTGAAGAGTTAAGAGCTGAGATCCAGTTGAGGGCTAGGTAGTTTTAAGAACAAGAGGTGAACTCTGTCCTTCCTGCTTCCCTTCTCTCAGCTTTTCTTCTACTATAAAACAGGAAGTAGAGATGAATGAAGACACACAGGATAACACAATTGTTTGTTAATGGGGAAAGCACGTCACACCAGCCATTGAAGAAAAATTGTTCCCACCTTGAGGAGGTGTTTGAGCAGGTGAGTGGACATTAGGGAGAAGGCTATATTAAAGTGCAGGTGAGTGAGTGATCAGAGAGTCACTGATTTTTAAAACTGACTCAAAGTTATATAAACAATATATGTACCTAAATACACAAATCATAAACAACATAACAGGAGTCTCTGTGAAGAGCAAAAAGATGCCTACTCTATCCAGCTATTGTTCAAGTATCCCCTTGGGTCTAGCATAATATCCTGTCTCTTTGCAAGGAGGCCCAAGGAAAGGAAGTGTCAACAGTTTGCTGAAACTCCATAGTATTGAAAGCAATGAGAACTCTGTCCATCAGAGAACCCAGCTTTTGGCCC